CAGAAGACACTTGATCTTATAGAAACAAATAAATGTTTTATTTTTGTTCTTTGAAAGTGTTTTCTATTTTCTGTTATCTTTGCTTTTCTGCACAAACCTGATTACCATGTTGGCGATTCCTTTATGACTTTTGGTCCCTGAGTGACTAAAATAATGTGTTCTTCTAGTAAAATCTCAATGGAAAAACAAAAAAGCAAAGCCAAAGCTTCAATTTTCTGTTTTGACTCATTATACCTTTGGATGTGATTTTACATGGCGTAAAATGTAGCTGGTTTTCAATGATGAAAATGCTGAGATTTATTGGGCAAGATACTGTAGCAATCACTATGTAAGTCCTCTACAATCACTCAGTCCTCATAAAAATAATATTTGGAAGGTGCTAGACTCATTCCAATTCAAAGTGAGAAACCTGGGATATAGAGTAGTGTTTTTGTACTTCTCTGATGTCAACAAAGAATTTCTTTGCTCCATCTTCCTCCTGAGCTGTGGCTGCATGTATCATTTCCAGATGGGTATTGGATGGCTGTGAAGGTGAATTCACACTGTGCTTGGGCTAAGCATGTCTCATTTCATACTTACAGCCTTCTCCTTCTCCATATTTTGTGGCAAATACAGCTCTACTTTTATGCAAACACAGCACAGAGCCATGTAAGCAGGATACAGGCCAGGGACATACACCAATGAATAGCTGTGAATGTATCCAATGTCTTAGAATCCAGGTCAGAAGACAACAAGAAACTTGCTCTGTTTTCCCATTTCAAAAATTTTAATATACTTTTTATAAGATTTTTCAATGGTTCTAAAAGATCTTAAATTCTATTTACAACTTGACAAACTATATGGTTTTTTGTTGTTTGTTTTTTGTTATATTTTTAGTAGCACTGAAATTATACCCAGAGTGACTGTACAGAACCACATCCTCAACATTTCATTTTCTATTTTCAGACAGTTTCTTGCTAAATTTTCCAGGCTGACAATATATAGAAAATGCAGAGAAACAATTTTAAAAAGTATCAAGACAATTTAACAGAGAAATTAAAAACAATCAAACAGACTTCTGCAGCTGAACAATATAAACAAAATGTGAAATGCAGTAAAGGGAACCAATAGCAAAACTGATCAAACAGGAGAAGGAATCTTTAAGTTAGGGACAGATTGTTTGAAAACATACAGAGGGGAAAAAAAGAATGGAAAAAAAAATCTTAGATTTTTTTCTAGCATAGTATTAAATGATTTCTAGCATACTATTAAATGAACAAGTGTAAAACTCACTGATGTTTAAGAGGAAGTAGAAAAAGAGGAGGAGGAGGTAGAAAGCTTCTTTAAAGAAATGACAGCAGAAATCATTGCAAAACTTGGGAAAGATATAAACATCTAGGCACAGGAAAATCAAAGCTCTCTAATCAGAATCAATGCAAATGATATCCTATGGTATGTATATCAAACTGTCAAAGATCAATGAAAAGGACATGATCTTAAAAGGAGCAAAAATTCAGGAGTTGTGGTTAGTGCTTTTTAGTACAGTGTCTCAAGGGGCTGAGGCAGGAGGATCAATTGATTCCAGATTATTGAGTTCAGCCTGGTAAAGACACAAAACAAACAGAGTAAAACAGGTGAATTTAAACATATAAATACAGAAAAACAAATAAAGAAATAATGTATACTGATATTGTGTTAAATCTAGGAACAGCTTTCTCAGAAGAAGCCTTATGTTCTAGAGATAGTGTGATGACATGCTTAAGAGACAGATTAAAGAGTTCTAACACTCTTGTACCTAGCAAATTGTTTTTCAGAAATGAAGGAGAGTTAAAGACTTTTAAAAATAAATAACAGCTGAGATAGTCCATCACGATGACACTTGTTCTGAAAGAAATACTAGAAGGAATTTTTCAGACTGAAAGAAAATAACAGCAATGAATGTCAGAAAAAAAAAATCTCAGAGTATACAATTCACTGTAAAATTAAGCAATGTGAAACTTTGACTACTTAATTTAATGGTGATCTATAATATTATTTTTAATATATGGTTAAAGGAAAAAGTATTAAAATAATTGTGGCTATAATAATTTGTGGGGGGAAATATGTATACAGAGATATAATTTATAATGCCAAAATTGAAGATGTGGAGAAATAAATTTAAAGTTGAGTTTTTTGTGATAAATTTTACATTTTTGTCAAATATTTTGGTAGTTAAAAATTTTAAATATTATTTATTAAGATAAAAATATTTTAAGCAAAACTATCTTATCAGAAGCAGGGAATTAAAAAAAACATATTATTGATGAAAATTGAAAATAAAGACAATAAAAGAAGACCTATACAGATGAGATCTACAAAACAACTAAGAAACGGTTAATAAATCAGTCCTAAGTCTTTATCAATCAATAATTACTTTAAATGTCAATGGATCTGATTCTTTAATTAAAAGACAGTTTGACTGAGTGGATGAAAAATCAAATTGATCTATATTCTATTTTCAGAAGACTGACTTTAACTGTAAGGATTCAGATAAACTTAAAGTAAAAGGATGAAAAATATTTCATAAGAAGCAATTCAATACAGCAGTAGTGATATTTTTATTAGGTAAAAAGAGATGATTGTAATGATAGTGTGGCTAACTCAATAAGAGATATAATAGTCATAGATACATATGCACAGAACATTGAAGAATATGCAAGGAAAGTATTTGTAGATTTAAAGGAGCTACATAGTGAAATGCAGCAATTTTTAGATGGTTCAACACTCCACTTCCAAAACCAGAGAGAGAGAGAGAGAGAGACAGAGAGAGAGAGAGAGAGAGAGAGAGAGAGAGAGAGAGAGAGAGACTGGATTCTCTAGATTAAATGGGCCTAACAAATACTTATGAAACATTATGTCCAACAGAAGAAGACTAATATATTTTTCTCATCAGCACATGGGATATTCTCCAGGATAGATTATTTGTTCAACAGTACACAAATCTTAGGAAATTTTGAAACATAGATATCATCATGATTTATGTCTATGGCCCCCAGGCCTCATGCATTTGCACTTTTTATTGGTTCATTGTCCTGCACTTGGATTGATGGTGTCAGTGCTACACCCACCTAGGGGTGGAGCCAGCATACAATGTAAAGGGTGGAAGAAGGCATCTCTCTCTCTCTCTCTTGCCAGTTTCCACTTTGCTATTTTGCAGCCACCACGAACTGCAGGCCTGCCATGCCACCCTGCCTTGGAGCCAATTGAGTATGGACTAGAACCTCCAGAACTGTAAGAAATAAATCTTTCCTTTCCCAATCTTGAGCATCAGGTATTATGTCTCAGTGACGAGTAAAAAGTAACTAAGACAGAATTTGGTATCAGGAATGGGGTCATTTGCTGTGACTATACCTGACCATGTTTTACAAGAGTCTTTGGAAATGGCTTGTGGGCAGAGTTTGGAAAGATTCAGACATGTCACCTGGATGCACAGAGCTAAAGCAGCTTAGGCTGTTCTGTAGAGGAGATTCTGGTTGGAGTTCAGGAGAGCAGAAGGCTGATAGAAAACCTGATGGTAAAGATCAGGCTTGGGAAGTTTCTGCTGGGAAGGTCTGTACTGGTTGTTGGACTCCCTACAATGTGTGCTATGGCTTGGCAGAAAGTTTCTCGGCGTTTTGCTCATGCCCAGAGCCTTTTCCTGACCAAGAGCAATAGACTGATTAATCTGACATAGGAAATTTCAAGGCAGTGGAATGTTGAGGCTCTGGCATGGCTATCATTGTGGACTTTTAGCCAGCTTTATGTTGCAATTCAACAGAAAAGAGCCCAGCAGGATAATTTACAATCCTGTGAGTTTGGCCAGAAGGAAAACTCCAGTAAAGGTGTGGGTTGTAAAGATAGAGCTGACATTTTGGTTGCTGAGAAGAAACAGAGATATAACAAAGATGGCCATGGGACATCCCAGGAAACAGCAGGTCTCCACCCTTTGCAGCCTCAAAACTGCAAAAGTGAAAGAATTTGCTCAGAGGAGAAAACTGCAGAGCACCATAATCCAGAATGGCAATGTAGGCCACATGAGGCTCTAGAATGGTGGCAACATAGAGAAGCTTTGCTTCACAATCAGATTCACAGAACCCAGTGATCCAGGCAATCGACCCCTACAGGCAAGAGAGAGAAAAACCTGGCTACTGATGTAGCTGCCAGCAAACTTTGGTAGCATCCACATGGTGCTGATTTTAGGTGCAAGGAAAATGCACAAATTCTGAGGGTAAGACAGCTTCCACCTCAATTGCAAAGGGTCTGGGAGGCTAAGCAATGTGCCCCTGTGCGGGCAATTTGTAAAGATGTAAAGGTGAAGCCAATGGTACAATAGAGACCTCAGAAGTTTGGAAAACTCAGGAACGTGGATCATCCAAGGAAAGCTGCAAACAATGAGCAGAGAGGGTTTAAGAGAGAAGCTGCTGGAGCTGAAATCCCTGGATACGCTGGGGGGTGCAATCACCCAAGACTTTTAGAGCTTGCAAACAGATTGCTTCAAATGCTGAGCATGAAACTCTAGGACTTAATGTTTGCCCTAGTGGATGTTGGACTTGCTTTGTTTCCAATGCTTTATGTTCCCCTGTTTGTAACCTTTGGAATGGTAATGTTTATCTTGTTCCTTTGCTTTTCAGAACTGTTTAACTTTGTTTCATTTGTATAGGGGGTTACAGTTAAGAGTTTGCCGTAGATCTGGGAGGAGACTTGGGTCTTGGACTTTCAGCAATGCTGAAACTATCAGAACTTTGGCAACTCTTGGAAACTCTTGGAGATGAACTAAATGTCTTCTGTAGGAAGGATGTGCATGAGTCCTGGGAGACAGGGGTGGAATGTCATGGTTTGTGTCTGTGGCCCTCAGGCCTTATGCATTTGCTTTTTGTATTTGTGATTTGTTCATTGTTTAGCACTTGGATTGATGATGTCAGTGCTACACCCACCTAGGGGTGGAGCCAGCATACAATGTAATGGGTGGACAAAGGCATGTTTCTCTCTCTTGCCAGTTTCCACTTTGCTATTTTGCAGCCACCACGAACTGCAGGCCTGCCATGCCACCCTGCCTTGGAGCCAATTGAGTATGGACTAGAACCTCCAAAAACTGTAAGAAATAAATCCTTTCCCAACCTTGAGCATCAGGTATTATGTCTCAGTGACGAGTAAAAAGTAACTAAGATGGAATTTGGTATCAGGAACGGGGTCATGTGCTGTGACTATACCTGACCATGTTTTACAAGAGTCTTTGGAAATGGCTTGTGGGCAGAGTTTAAAAAGGTTTGGACATGTCGCCTGAATACTGAGAGCATCTTATTTCATCAGATTTTCTTTTTTTTTAAACTGTGATGAAATAAGATCAGTAACAGAAGGAACTTTGGAAAAGTTAAAATTACATGGAAATTAAGCACCATATTCAGGAATAACAAATGGATTAATTAAAAAATTAATAGCATTTTAAAAATGAGTCAATACAATTGAAAGCAGATTTTCAATGCCCTAAAACCTGTGGGATATAATGAAATCAGTTCAAGAGAAAAGTTTGCAGCAGGAAATTCCATTGTTTAAAAAAAAAAAAAAAAAGTCCTCGAAGGTCCTTATTTTGCACCTCAAAGGAATAGGTAGTGGGGCAAAAAAAAAAAAAAAAAAAAAAGAAAACACCAAAACAAACAAACAAACAATCCAAATAACTAGTGAAAAAGTCCTTCTGGATTGTACAAGTGAGACAGAGGCCAGTGACAAGAGCACCTGCTGATCAATCAGATTTGGCTTTACTTATTTCTTCAGAAGCTGACTTTTTCTCATTTTTAGTTTTTTTCCATATTGTACAGATAAATAATTTTTAGATTCTTAGTTAACCTCTGTTTTATCTCTCTCTCTCTTTTTTTTCTTCTTTTTTTTTTTTTGCCTTCCCACCCCGGAGAATCTATCCTTTCCCATGGCCCTTTGGTTCATTTCTACTTCTACTGGAGCAAATTTAGTCAACAGCCTAATCTGTCTCTTCCTGGACTTCTCTGCCTCTTTGGCTGAGCCATCCTTCCTCTTGGGCATCTGGGCCCTGCCACAGAGATGGGCGAGGATGAGAAGGGCAGGGTGCTGCTGTAGGCAGCAGCTTATGGAGGTCTTCCATAGCCTGGCTTCTTGGCTGCTGATGCTCCCGGATGCTGGAACCTTCAATGCATTTCAGACTTAAGATATTTTTAATAAACACAATGGGTTATCAGCATGTAATCCAACCATATATCAAGTGCATAGATGGACTATATTACCTTGTGAAATAATTTGGTAAGACTTTGTAATGTCTTAGAGGAGATAACCATATAGCTACTAAAATGATTGCTTTGAACTAGTAATTCAAGCAATTATTTAATGTGTTTTTCATCTTTTCTGCATTGTTTCTTACTTATCTATAAAATAAGGCACTTGCAAGTACTAGTTATGTCATAGGCATTTAGAATATTTCCTTAGTATATAGAGAGTTGCTTAGAATTATGTCTAATACTTAAATAAGACCACAGTAAATGTTGACTATATTACAATAACTTTGTATCAGAACATGTTTACTTGAAGAGAGAATTACTAAGAAAATCCAGTTATTTAGAATATTTACAGAGGGGCTAGGGGTTTAGCTCAGCGGCATAAGCACCTGCCTTGCAAGCAGGCGGTCGTGAGTTCAATCCCCGGTACCGATAAAAATGAAGAAGACAAAAAAAAAAAAAAAAAAAGAATATTTACAGCTGCAAATTTTTGCATACATATAGTTAAATCCGTTGAAAAAACATAAAATTGTAACATAAAACCAAAAAATATTTCGTGACTTTTAAAATTTTCCATTTTCCATAAAGAAAAATATTTTCAACATTTGGATCTCAGCTTAGCTATTTTGATACATTATCTCTTCCTTATGAAATCTGAACATGTTTGGTTAATTTCTTCTTCCTACCTATCCTTGGCAGCTTTGTCAGAAAATGTGTATATTCTGGCAACTTGTCAGAGAAAGATTCAGAGCTGAGAATGAGTTGATATTATAATGGAACCTATCTGATTAGATAAGTACATCACGTGTGATTTTATATGCTCATAAATATCAGTGTGTCTTTTCCAATGGTGGCGAATGGAGGGCAGTGAGAGTGGTGTAACTGCCATTTGTATGAACTACAGATTTTCAGCACACACAAGAAAAGTAGTAACTTTTCTTAAAAGGCAGTAAAGACCTAGACCTTGACATACTGCTTGATATAATAGTTCAGCAAGTTGTTGGCCTCACATCTTTTACTATTTCTAATTGCACAGTTGGTAGGTAGGATAAAAGTTGTCAAGTTAGGAAAATGGAGCTTTTATGGTTTGTACAAAGAGGATTTAATGTCACTACAAGTAGATGGATAGATGCTCATGTGCAGCTTTGGTACCACAGAGAAAGCAATCATTCTGACACTGGATAAAAAGTACCCCAAACTGGAGAATTAAAGCATCCATTTTTCAGTAGTTTGGAGATGCATTAATTTCTCAGAACCAGTCAGAATCCTTGAAATTTTTCTAGATTGTGTGCAAATATCTTTGAGAATCAATTAATTTATAAAACACTACCTTCTTGATTCCATGACTAAAAAGACACAAAAGTAAGAATAAAAAGACTTTTAAAAATGAAGGAAATAGAAACAAATCATTGACCACCTACTAGAGAAGATGAAATCACCTTGTATTAATAAGCCAAAGACCCTTGAAATCCAGGACATTACTAAAGCATACGAAGCTTTAATAGTTAATTAAAAGATTTAAATATGTATCCTCTCAATCAACTGAAGATGAACAAGGCATTTAGAAAGTCACATGGTTGATGCAAATTGCCTTTGCTGAAGTATAATGGTACACATAGGTTTGATTACGTTTTAGTTTAATTTTAGATTACCTTTTATTATCCATTTAGTTGGTTTTTAAAAGTTATATGGATTGGTTTTGCTTTTGTTTAAAATGATTTGTTTAAGGACCTCACAATACCTTTGAGTAATTTTCCATAATAAGTACGATCTCTGAAGATAACATAGAAAGAATAGGAAAGAATAGAAGGAATTCTCCAGGATAAATCAAAACACATCATAAGAAAGAACTATAGTTTCTAAAATCTAAACTCCAGGAGTCTAGATAACAGTTCCTCAGTTCCTATAACTTCAAAATGAAAATCTATGTGAGTTTCAGGTTCTGATACTCAAAACAATAGCATATTGATTTTGACAGCATGAGTGCTGCTAGCACTTTTTAAAAAGTATGTTTTTATTTATTTTTTATTAGTACAACTTTGCCATATATACTGATCATATTTCTTGTGGGCCTTTACATATGTGCTTAAAACATCTTAATTGTGGTTTTCATCCCCTTTCCATCCCTTCTATCATGTATATATTTAGATCTCTTTTTATATATGTATGAAAAATAATCATAAGAGATGTTTTTCATTTTTTTAATATGTGAATTTTGAGGAAAATTCAAGTTGAAATAAACTACATATTTATCTAAATATTAGACATAGGTATGGTCAGACCTCTATATTCCTTCATTTGTCTTTAAATACTATAAGAATAAATAACTTTCAGTAAATATTCTTTTTCATTTCTCTTTTTTTCTTTTTTATTTATTTATTTGTTTTTTGAGACAGAGTGACAGAGTTTTGCTATGCAGTTCAGGCTGGCTTTGCGCTTAACTTTGTAGTGCAGACTGGTCTCAAACTTGCAACAATACTCCTGCCTCAGCCTTCTGAGTACTGTTAGCAAATACTCTTATTCAGTACGTACAGAAATAAGCCATAACTTCAAAGAGATGACATATTAATTACTTCTGTATAGTCACAACCATATGTTTTCTATGGGGCTGGGTGATCAAATATAATTTAAATACTCAGAATATAGTCTTGAACTTTAGAATGTTTAGGGCAAATTGTCACACCTGCCATAAAGAGACTGGAGGAGCAGCTATGTCCCCTGCAGTGTGATGGATGGAGGCCACAGCAGTGGCCACAACTGCCCACAGTCAACCCCATGTGGTAGACCCATGCCCGTGGTCATCTAAATACAACTCCCTGCTGAGTCTGCCTCTTAGTTCCCCTCAGTATAGGGCATAAAGGCAACTACCAACTGAACAACCTGATCACAGCTGAGATCAGTACCCCGGGTTAGAAGGTAAACCTGGAAAAGTCAGAAGATTTAGGGAGAAATAACAAATGGGCCAGCAGTGCTATCCCCAAGAAAAGCACAAGGCTGTTGGAAACTGCAAAAACAATGTGCCCTTTATTGCAGGACTAACTTCTTCATTGAGGGATAGAGTTGAAAAGGAAACTGAATACAGTGCCTAAAATATTGCCTGAGTTTTAAACAGGTGCCATGTTGGGAAGAGATGGTGTGATATGAACATCTGTGCTGCAGATTCACTAAGGAATCCCAGGGGATCCTACCAAAGTGACTGGATGAGAGACAAACTTGGGGACGATCAGGATTAGACATACATTCCCTAAATTGAAGTTCAGGCCAGATAAGACAAAGAGCCTGCACTTCTTGATGGGAGGCTAGATCCAAGAGATGGCTCTCAGAGGTAGCTGAATCCGAAGGTGATGGCTGCCTCTGGAAATCTGTTTGAGCTGCTGTGGTCTGGAGTTCATACATGGACCTTTTTCTTTTTTAAGACTAGTCAAGTGCAGTAGTGAGAAGGGGGAAAGAGTACATGGACCCCTTAAACAGAGTGTGGAGGACTGCCACTTCATCCCAGACCAGACCCAATGTGGTGCACTAAGTTGTGATCAGTGCAGGCTGTACAGGGGTAATTTCCCTAAATTGCCTTTTGGTTTGAATAGTGAGTCTGACTGTGACAGTTGATACACTGGGTCAACTTGACAAATTTAGAAGTTTAAGCAGCAGGGTAGGAGCCGGTGTCCTCACTTTGTAAATGTCCTCAGCTTTTGCAAAAGGAGGGTGCATAGATGGTGTGAGTGCTATACCCACCCAAGTGCAGGAACCATGCATACAATACAAGGGAGGGAAAGAGGCGTAGGTATGCTGCTTTTGCTGTCTTCTGCTGCCTTGAACCCTTGCTCTTCTGGCATGCCGCCCTACCTTGGACCCAGCTGATTACAAACTGTGAGCTAAATAAACTTTTCCTTCCTTAATTTTGGATGTCTGGTATTTTGTTTCAGCAATGAGACAAAAGTAACTAAGGATGGCACTGAATCAGAGATCTTGACTCCACTGTCTACATCCATCAGAGACCAGTGATCTGACTGCTTCCACATGTACCATGTGATCTGGGACAGGGCTTCACTTGAACCATTTCCAGTGTCTGGAGTTTATACACAGAAGGACCTCTTAAACAGGGTGTGAAAGACCCTGTGTCATCCTCCCCCAGGCCCAAATGTGAATGTGAGTAGTGTGGGCTGTACAGAGGTAATTTCGGTAATTTTCCTAAATTGGTTTTAGGTTTGAATGGTGAGTCTGGCTGAGGCTCTGAATGTGTCTTCATGTAAGCAAGTGGGTCACCCGTGTGCTGACCTAGGCTTGTCCCTCACCGTGGCCATAGTTGAGTCCTTGGCCATGAGACTGTGGGACTAAAGAATGAGATAAGGTCTCCACTGAGTGTGTGATTCCACATAAAATTCCTTCCCAGAATTGATCATAAAACATGTTGCTCATTAACAGCAGCCTGAAACTGGCTGTTGTGTACCTTTTGCAAGAACACTTTGTCCCCTCTTTCATACCCCTTGTCCTCTTACCCCCTTATCTAGCACATCCACCCATAATCTCCTCACCATTTCCCTCCATGTGAATATGATCAATAAGCATGGAGGTTCCGGCTGCCTCATGGCCTTCTGTTCCCTTCGAACACTGGCCATCCCACATCCCCAGTGCACTGCCATTTTGTCCTTGCTCTTGTTTTTTCCTGTGTACCATAACACCTTGCAGGAGGAGGCTGGTGTTCACCGTAGAGATTCCTGATGCGGGCCAGGGCACCTATTCAACCCACAGACTGTAGGTTAAGGATAAGAAGACTAGAACTTGCTGGTTTCCAAGACTGAAGGTCCTGGAGTGAAACCACTCATTTCGAAATACATAGGAACTTTTCTGGATGCATTTCTCTCTCTCTCTCTTTCTCTCTCTCTCTCTCCCTCTCTGTGTGTATGTGTGTGTGTTGTACATTTTTTGCCTTTCTTTTTTGTTTTAGTCTTTAAATTTTTTTATACTTTCCTTTACTTTGTTTTCTTGTTTCTATTTTTCCTTTAGTTTATTCTCTGATTTTTCATTTTCTCTTTTTTCTTGTCATTTATTTCTATTACTTTTATCTAATAATATTAAACCTTTTTACTCCTTAATAGGGTCTTTTATTGTACTTTTATCATCTCTTTCTCATCTTCCACTGGTTAGTTTTTCAAGTTTTACTTTTTCATGGTCCTATTCCTGACACCTTGTACCTTTACTTTTATTACCACTAAACTTTATGAATCTATAATTAACTATGTGCTATTATTGTTGAATAGTGTTCCATTATTAAAAATAAAGTTTTTCTATTCATTAGATATTTCCTGTTGGTCAATTTTGGGTTGTCTTAATATTTATAGTAAAATTACAGATATCTTTTTTGTGGTTAATGTTTGTTCTTAGACTGTGTCATTATTTATTCAGTTTATACTTATTTCTGTCATTATTCCTGATTTTATTACTATAGGCAAGATAACACAGTAGTTGCTACCAATGGTTTTCACAGAAAACCAGTATCTAGGGTAATAAACAAAATTTAGGTCTTATGTAAGAGAAGTGAGTATTGGACCAGAACTCTGCAGCCTCACTTCACAAATAATCTCCAGTGGTTGGGTCCTGGGAAAGAGGCAAAGATCACTATTTAGCTATCCCCACAGGATATTCCTGAAAAGCAGACATTAAATAAATAGGTCCCAAACTGGCTGGAAAGCTATCTACTATAACCAAGCTGCAAGCCTTAGCAGAGAAAGCATAAAAAATAGAAACATGAGAAGACTAGGCCACAAATGCCTCCCCAAACTCCCAATTTCCCTAAAGTTGTTCTAGGGGATACCAGTGGGGAAGGAAATCAAAAGTCACATGGTCAAATTATTTGAAAGACTAACAGAGATTAAACAAACAAAACAACAAAACCCCAAAACTAACAACGGAAAAACAAAACAAAAACAGATCAACAAGGTACAGGGTTACTTTTGGTTTACAAGTACTTTTGTATTCAACCCCTGCCACCCCCAAAAAAATGGTTCACAAACAGAACCATTCAGCAAAACATTGTTTGTATTTGCGAACTGTATTGTGTGACAAACACAACTGTGGCCATCTTTCCCACATAAGCACCAATCTAGCCATCATTTTGAAAATCATAGAACAAATTAAGTTTGTGAACCAAGGTACCATTTTATTGGCAAATTCAAAAATAATATGACTAATAATTCAACTAAGCAAAAAAAATTCAGTGAGTCTACATCAGACACTAAGAAAAAGGCAGTTGAATTAAACAAACGAAGCAAAAATGATTTTCCAGCAAAGAAATTCATTGGGGACCATTAAAAAGTACCAAATACAAAGCCAGGTGATTCAAAATTCTATTGAAATTACAGACAGCAGAAGCAACCAGTGTGTGCAAAGAGTGTCAGATCTAGAAGATAATGCTATAATTGGTGATTAATATTGATCTTAAAAACAAGAAAACATGGAAAATTGATCCAATCTATAGATGATACCAAGACTAATATAAGATTAATTAGATTTAGTAAAAAATTAGAAGATAGCACAGTTTTTAAAAGAACCTGTTCACAGAAAAATTTTCAATTATGAAAAAAAATAATTGAATATACAAATAAGTGAGGCATATGAAATTTCAAATAGCCAAGATCTGAAAGAACCACTCCACAACTCATCTTATTTATAGATGTTATGATCTTCTGTATATAAGACTCAAAAATTCCACAAAAGGGTTTCTAGAATTAGTAGCTAAATTTAATAATGAAGCAAGGTATACATAAATTTAACACATGAAAATCAATAGCATTTCTGTTTACCAATAATGAACTCATTGAGAAAGAAATTAGGAAAAAATACTATTTACAAGAACAGTAAGAAAAATGAAGTACCTAACAACTGACCTAACCAAGAAAATGAAGAACTCTAAAATAAAAATTCCATCACTACACAAAATGAGAACAAAGAGGACATCAGAAAAAAGGAAGATATATTTTGTTCTTTGACAGGAAGAACCAGTACTGTGAAAAAGGCTATACAGTAAAACCTTGAAAGAATAATTTGTTCTGCTCAAAGTCCAAAACACTTGTATATCAAAGCAGCAAAAGAAGGAGAGAAGAACCACTTGTGATCATGTGATGTTCTGAATGACATTGTACTTGCAGTGGAAGACGTTGCTCATTTATCAAGTTAAAATTTCTTAGAAATATTTGTTTATGCTACGGAACACTCTCGGACCAAGTTACACAAAATCTAAGTTTTGACTGCACTTCCAATACTGATATGTAGATTTAACACAATCCCAGTCAAAATACAAACAGCATTCCTCACAAATCTAGAGAAAACAATTGTAAAATGGATATGGAACCAGTAGAGACATGGAATAGTTAAAACAATCCATGGTTACAAAAGGAAAAGAAGAGACATCACAATTGCACTTATGAAGTTGTACTACAGAGATAAATTACAAAGCTAAAACAGCATGACACTGGCACAAAAACAAACCTGTGAATCAATGGAACAGGACAGAGGAAGGGGGAAAAACTTCAGGCACATTCAGCTGTTAAGTATTTGACAAAGAATCATGAATATACGCTAGCAGAAAGGTAAACACTTCATTAAACACTGGAGGGAAGATTGGGCATCCACATTCAGAAAATTGGGTCTAGGCCCAAATAAGTCATCATATACTAAACTAAAATAAAATTTGATCATAGGTATAATTACTAAAACAGAAATAATATGCTGGGAGGTAAAATAGGTAAAACTCTTGAAGATATAATCATAGACAAGGACTTCCTACACATAACCGCATGAGACAAGATATAGTACTAAATGTCAACAAATGGGCTCATAAAAAATTCAAAATGTTCACAGTGAAGAAAAAAACATCAGAGTAGAGACAATTCAAGAAATGGAATAGTTTTTTGTCAGCTATCTCTCAGATATGTAACAACTAGAATATATAAAGCACACAAAAAGAGCTTGCAAAAAATAAAGTATCAGATAAAAAATTGACAACTGAAATATATACAATGTCTCAGAAAAAAATTACAAGTGGCCAATAGACATGTGAAAAGATGTTCAATATTGCTGGCCATTAGAGAAATGCAATGTAAAATGACACTGGGATTCCATTTTATTGCAGGAGATATGGCAGTCATCAAGGAAGCAAAGAATAACAAAATCTGGAAGAACTATCAGGGGAAAAGGAACTCTTCTACATTGTTACTGGAAACACAAACTAGTATAAGTACTGTGAAAACCAGTGTGAAGATTCCTTAAAAAACTAAAAATAGAAATCCCGCTTGAAATTCCCAGATATTCTCCTCCTAGAAATCTTCCCCAGTGTTAAAAACACACCACAGTGATACTTGCATATAAGTCATAGTAGCTTCAGCAGCACAAGTTACAATAGCTAATTCCCATGAATAGATGAATGGCTCAAACAAATATAGCATTTTTACACAATCGAAACTGCTCTGTTGTAAAGTGGATACATTTGAGCCATTTGTAGATAAATAGATATACTTTCAGACCATAATATTAAGTGCAAAAAATCAAACACATAAGCATAAATATCATGTGGTTTCTCCTATGTGAGAAACCCAAAATATAAAATAAAGAGCAAAATAAAAGCTAGATAACAAGAGTAGGAAGACTTTTTTTTAAATGGGGAAGGGTACAAAAGGTGGAGGGGCTGCGAGGGAAAGAGGATAAAAATATATTGAAAGAGAAGAATAAATGGAAATACATTTTTTGCAAATGGGAAGAAAATCATAAGATAGAAGGAGCAGGGAGCTAGTGGTAAGGTACAGGCTGAAAAAATAATTAAAATGTGTTATGTACAGGTACCCCACTCATCAGAATCATCAGCAGCAGCAGCATCAGTGTAATCATATGCACCTCAACACATAATAAAAATGGAAATTAAAAGAAAAAATGTCTACATCAAGTTACTGGAGAATCAGTTAAATATTGGTCAATCTATCTAATCTATCTATCTATCTGTTCAACTTTCATGGTATTGGCACAAAGTTTCTCACACAATTTTAAAGGAGTAGAGGTTTACTTTCGCTCCTGATTTGAGAGGTTTCAGGCTACGGTGGGAAGGTTCCCCAAAGCAGAAATACTTTCATTTCATGGAATGGTGGCTACCACAAAGCTTCCCACATCAGGGCAGTTAGGAAGTAACAGGGGAAGCCAGCCAGCAAGAGACACAGCCTCTGATGACACACCCTTCAGAGATCCACTTCCTCCTCTGCTCTTCCCCCCACTCTTTCTCCCTCCACTGCATTAATTCAAAAATCATGGAATCAGTGCACTCAAGTGTTGAGTTTTGCTTGAAATATTTGGTGAATGTTTATATATTAAAAATGTATTACAGCAGCAGCAAAAAGACACATTGCATTCATCTTCCACAAAACGCATCCTTCACTTTGAGCACTGCCATCAGCCTTGCCACTTTCTGAGCCAGTTTTCTCTTTGGTCTTTCTGAAAACACAGTCAGTGCTACTGCTAGAACATTTAGCCTATAAAAATATAACAGTGTGTCCATATCTACCTCTTCTTCCAGTGTGGCACCTGGAACTTCTGACTCTTCCACAAATTCAAAATGATGAAAAGAAAATGTTTTAAATTCATTCGCAACATCGAGGCAGCTGCTACAATGCAACTAAAAATATTTGCCAAGATAAACTTCTATAATAGCTTGAGAAGATATTGAGAAAAAATGGGTTAAGTGTGTTAGAAGTGAGGCAAATATTTTGAGGGGGACCAGAGGCAACATTTCCTTTAGCGTAATACATTTTTCAAAAAGTGGTAAATACTTACTGTATCTCTTAAGTACAGCTCTTACAGTGTCTGCCTCTATCCAAACACCTCTCTAGGAGTCTCTCAATTGTGTCGAGTTGATAATTAAGATTATCAACTTTATATAATTTTATATACATTCTGTAAAGCACATGAATAGCTAGAATGCAATTATGAATCTATGCATTGTTGTTTACTTATAACAATTAGATGAACAATAAAATATTTGTCATGGGACCGATATGTCAGATTAGGTACCAAAGCACAATATTGAATAATTTGGGGAAGATAATTATTAAAATACATTTATTGATAATTGGAATTTGTATCTATGAAGTCTGTAGTCTTTTAATCTATCTCTGCCTTAGGATTCTGATTCAAGAATAGGATTCATTTCAGAGAACTGGGTTTAGTAACAAGAGCAAAGCAATCCATGCCTCAAAGGCTCTAGGATGGTTACCAAAATAGAGAGATCAAAATACAGTTATTACCGTCAGGGATCACACCTGGAATGTGGCAAGCACTGAGCTGTGAGCTCACGTTCCACTCTGTGGTTCACCTCCAACAGCAGGAAAGTGGATGAAGAGTGCAGGACCTGCCTGATTGGACTTTTTCCTCTGCAGTCTTTAATGATATGCCCATTTTAATTTGCCCATTATTATACTGATGTGTCTTTTTACTGTATGTGATATCCAAGGTAGTTCAAGATTTAAATTATTTTACTTTTATTAATACATGTTCGCAGTACATAATGGTTATATTCACTGTAGGGAATTGTTACATACACAGAACACATTTCAATTGTTTCCCTTTCCCTAGACCTAGATTTTATTTTTCCTGCATCAGCTTCATTTATTGTCTTATAAATTAAATTTGCACACATACACATTAACAACCAGACTAGTGAACCAAAGAATGCATAAAATGTAAAACAATTATTTACTTCAGCAAGTGTATTAAGGTACACTTTTAGATACATCATCCACGTGGAATCACAATCTTTTCTCTCTGCCTTTTTTTCTTAGTATCTGTCCTTTATTTCATACTTTATAAACATTTTAATTTTTCACAGAAAAGTAACTATGTGCTATTTAAGCATGCGTGTCAGAGTTTTTCATTTAACATTACAAATGTGACTTAGCCTCATAAGTTATCCATATTTCAGAATTAAAAATGTAAATATGTACTCATCATGTTAGAAGACAAACCTACTATATTATGGAAACTAGTTACTAGTTTCATAGTCATTTCTAAATGTGTTTATGTTCAGGAGCATAAATAAACTTAGGCTTTTGCCTTTTTTTCCCTATTAAAAAACTTCTACCTGTTTCACAGTATTGTGGAGTAAATTCAGTGTTTTACTATAAACCAGAAACAAACACAAAGTTAGTGATTCACTGGACATGGTTGCACACACCTGTAATCTCAGCTCTTGGGAGGCTGAGGCAGGAGGATCACTCTGAGTTTGAGGCTATCCTGCACTACAAGGCCAGCGTGCACTATATAGTGAGACCCTGTGTCAAAATAGACAAATGCAATGACTCAAAAGATTATTTTAAGAATCAGTTTCCTGAATGTCTTTTATTTAATTTCAGAGAAAGTTTCTGATACTTTAATTAGATTAACTTTGCCCTGAAGCTGATTTGGCAACACCCTTTTGAAGCAGCCTCCTTGCCAAGCAGCTGGATTTCATGTCAGTTTCCAGGATCTTGTTCTCATGGGATTATTTGCTAAACTCATTTATTTGCTAATACTGTTGAGGACCATCCCTGCAATGCATTCTTCATCTCCTTTATTTTTCTCGAGATCTTTGTTATGAGCCCTAGTTTCCCCAGTGCTGGTTGCTGTCCCTGCCAACAGCACCTGTGCTTGAGCATCTGTCTTCCTTACCCCTGTCTGCCTCTGGCCTTTGCCTTGCATCTCTCTGAGGCTCTTCTTTATCCCTGAGCTTCAGCCCTGTTCCTTCCTCAGATCTGTCTCTGCCTTGGACAGTGGAGAATACTGGGCAGCTAACTTTATCCTAGATATTTAACGGCATTTGCTGCACATTCATAACTTGACTGTCCTGCATGCCACACATTTGGTTCCTGGGCTTTTGTGCACTGACAAGCTGTCTAAAATGCACCTTGAAAATCCTAATACTTAGTTACACTATCCTCTTTTAGATTGAGAGTATGTTTATTTGACTCAGTTTTTCAAACATATTCATGGCAGACACTATCATCTTACATATTATGCAATTTTTTCTAAATGCCTTGGGAGAATGTTTTTTGCTCAGTTCAGTGACAAATACGGTGAGAAAAGTGAGGTGCTTTAAGACAATCTTTTTTTTTTTTTCTTTACTTGTGTTTAGGGTTGTTTACTGGGCAATGCTCATGCAAACAACGGCTATACCCCTGAGACTTATCCTGGCCCTTCTGATTTTTTTTTTTTTTAAATGGGATCTTTTGTTGCATTTACAGGCTCACCTCAAAGTTGAGATCCTCTTATCTCTACCTTCTAAGCAGCAGGAAATATAGACTGAGCCATAACACCTGATTTATTACAAACTGTTTTTTTCCCATATGTTTGTGGCATTGATTCCTCTTTTGTAAAATCTCTTCTGCCCTTAGCAATTTGAAAATCACTTTTTTGACAGGAAAATGAGCTATGTGGTGCTTGTTCTCCATTTACCTTTTTCTTTCCTTCTTTATCCTTTCCTTTTCCTTTAAACCAAAAAAAATCATCTTTTCTCTTTGGTCTTTGTACAAGTCTGTGTTTAATATATCTCTCTAATATGGTCCTTAGTAATAAATGACACTTCTGGAAATATTTGCATATTTAACTTGAAAAAAATCTTTAAAATTGGGGTGATTTTTAGAGTTTTGTAAGAAATGTTTTAAAATTTGTTTTGTTTTGTTTTGCTTTTGAGACAAGGTCTTTCCGTAGTTTAGGGTGGCCTCAAGTTTACAATCTTTTGCCTCAACCTTTTAAGCACTCGGATGCTAGGTGCATGCCACCACTCTTGTGTTCAGTCAGTTTTTGTATGTGTATTCCTTTTTCCACAATAGTTTTCAAGCATTTACTGTGTATGTATTACATTTGAAAAATGATACAAAACAAAGATAGATAAAATAAGAAAAACATCATCTAGGTAAAGAAAGTACATACAATTCTTCATTGGACTTCCTTTCCGTAAGAGACTTTGAACATATTTAGGTAAATTTTAGTTAAACTTTATTTTCCATTATATTTATGATGAGGAATTATACTGCAGGGTAGTAAGTTAATCGCTGTTTTATGATTGCACATTTCCTTTGGTCTTTTGTATTGGTATCATCAATGGTTTTTCTAAAGTGTGATACTCATATTTTGCCTAAAACTTATCAATTTAAAACCTTGGCCACATTTATGCTCTGTCTCTCTCCCTCTCTTTCTCTTTTTCTTTCTCTTCTCACAGAGACCCACTGACACTTGAACCAAAATTTAGTACTCTCCATTAGAGAAAGTTTTACATACATCTAAGAAAAGTATTTTCTTGCACATAGTATGTAATATAAAATTTGATATAAATTTTATATTCTAATATTTTCATTTATCCTCAAATTTCCTTTTAAATTTAAAAAACAAAACTTTAGGAGAAAAATAATAGCTAGATATTACTTTGATAGCTAATTGTTCTCACGCTGGATTAGTCCCTGGGGGTTTTCTTTTCTGTTTTTATTTTATATTTTAGGATTTTTATTATCAACTTTATAAATGTTCTTATTTTTTATTAGACTCTGGGTCTTTTCTCTTCCTCCCTTCTTTCCTTTCTTCTTTCATACCCCATTTCTTCCTTTTCCCATTCCTTTCCTTTCCTTTCCTTCCTTCCTTCCTTCCAATACTGGCATTTTGGAAAGTCCAACATGGTTTACCTGTAGAAAATCTCGTATCTCATTATTCATTCACAGATACGGATTTCACAGTTTGAGCATTATATCCAGCTTATATTTGTCATTGGTTTGCATCACTAAACACACATGCAGTTAGTTTGGTAAATGGTAATGTTACGCTTACACATTTATTTAAAATGCTTTCTACCAGAGGTCTCCATTCTAAAGGAACCGTCACA